GGATGCTGAGCGCGTCGAACTTCAGAGGCTCCTCGGTGTTCCCCTCGCGGATATTGTTGACCTCGGCCTCGTTCTCCGACGTGTACGGTGTCATGCCCAGGGGATTCAGCATGATGTGTACTTTCCAGCGCTCTGCTTGCCCCTGCTCTGCGTAGGCCTTTTTGGTTCGCAGGTACCTCACTAGGTCCGCCAGCTCGTCGTATCCCATCACGTCCATGATCAGGCTGAGCTTCTTCATGTCGCGCTTGATCGTGGGCGGCAAGTTGTCCATCCTGCCGAGCGCTCCCAGGAACTCCGCTGCCACGTGTACGTGTGGGGAGCCCATGTCCTTCTCGCCCGCCTAGCTGCGCTCGGCGTATCTGGCCCCAGCTCCCGATCCCGCCAGAATCGCTGGATGCTCTCTGCCCTCCACAAGGAAGAAATCCCAGAGACTGCCTGAGAGAACGAGGAGGAGAAGGAGGAGGGGGGAAAACGATGAGAAAGAGGCAAAGGAGGGAGGCCAGGGAAAACGATGAGGAAGAGAAGGAGATGGAGATGGAAAGGATTATTTTCTTCTTATTATTATTCTTATGCTTCTTCGGGTCACTCAAGGCCTACCCTCTCTACCTCCCACATTTATGGCCAAACTAGCTGACAACAGTCCACGCGCGGCCCTCTGGAAAGGCGTTTGTGGTGGGGTGGTGGTGGACACCGGGGCGGGGGCTTTTCTCCAGCAGGCTCTGCACGATCACAAGCGCCAGTCCTTTAAGCTTACACCCTCTGCCGTTTTTTTTTGTCACGTCACCTACGCCCTGTCTGCAGCGTCTCTCCCGGTAAGCGGCACGCACAGAATTTAAGCCAGCGGCCATCTTGGCACGTCGGCCATCTTGGCACGTCGGCCATCTTGGCACGTCGGCACGTCGGCAAATATTACATCGAGGCGAACGTGGGTTTTTCGGAAATTTGCGAGTAAGCACTTTGCGAGTAGTGGAACGCGCTCGGTGATATGAGGGGGGGGAGGGAAATCCTGGAGGTCAATGCCGGCGTGCTGCACGGTATGCTCGTGCGTGTCGATGCGGGATCGGATGTACGGGGGGAGGAAGAAGAAGTCCCTGGTGTCGGCGTTGGCGCGGGTAGTGGGAGTTCATGTTATTCTTTGGGTAGATTCGGGTAGTGGCGTTGGCACGACGGTAGGGGACAAATCAACCAGACGAATCCCACGATGGACTACCGACAACGCTAACTCCTGTAACAGCAACCGTGTTGGTATATTCTTCCTGCTCGTAATCAACACGCGCTGCCAGACCCGCAGTCTTGACAAGTCAGGAGGGACGGGTGAGTTGGGCTCTTTTGAGACTGGGGAAGGAGGACGACTGCCAGCACTTCAGTATACTGCCACCGCATATGCTTGAGTTTAGCTTGCACAGTCGCCTGACTGGTTGCCTCCACGCCGTCACATTTCATCTTTCTCACGCGTAGCTTCGCACTGGCTTCCCTATCAAATCTCGCCAATGCCGCCAGATATGCCGCGCAAGCTACAGGCCAGCCAAGAGTTCTACTGCTCATGATGGTGTAGGTTGGCGGGCTAGGTGTGGTGGAGGGGGTTAGCTCGTCTCTCTGTACATCCATCACAAGCTTGCAGCAGTGTCCCTGACGCATGCTTACAAAACACACTAGAGCGCACCAGCCCCATACGCTCACAGCTCACGGCCAGGCAGAGCAAGCTCAGCAGCGTGACAAGGACCTTCCGCAGTGTCTACTCAAGCCTCTTGCTCATACAGTGCAGTGCAGACCCCCCTTTTACAGGGTGTAGCCCCACAGTTTAGAATGTCAATACCCTTTACCACTCGGTTAGTCAAAGGCCGCCGCGAGCTGAGACCCCTGGAGACGCAGCGGTCTCAAGCAGCAGCCCCCCGCCCCACTCGGAGGCGGAGGGCCCTCCGACGGCACCCCGCGCCGGGGCCACGCTACAGGCTGTGCTCCAGCGTGCGGGCACCGCGCGCCTAACGGCGTAGTGAGGAGGCTTCCGATGGAGCTGACCCTGGGCCTCCCGCCTGGCTTGTCGCACGTGAGGGACCAGCTCAACCAGAACACGCCGATGTTGAAGGGGCCCCAGGACACACAAATAAATACACACAAATAAAAAGATTCCCCATATTTTCCTATATTTTCTGGGTTTTTGTCTTCCCCCCACTTCCCATATTTTCCAATATTTTCCTGGGAGTGGACGATTAATTGTGTCTGTGTGTTTTTTCCCCTTCTGCACGTCCCTGTACAACGGAGGGGCGAACCGCCTGGCCGCGAAGCACTTCAGCATCGAGGGGCCGCTCGACATCCACGCGCTGCTCTTCGTGCCCCTTCGGGCTCCCCTCGAGTCTGCGAAGCTGTGTAGTCACATACAGCTCTACGAACAGAGCGTCTTCTTCACGGACTCCTGCGATGAGTTCAGGCCCGAGTGGTTCCACACTGCTGTAAAAGGCGTGATCAATGCCGAACTTCTGCCGCAGAACATAATGTGCCAGACCCCGCAGCAGAACAAAATCATGCGCGTGATCAAGAAGCACCTCGTCAAGCACTGCCTGGAACTGTTCGCGGAGATAACCGAAAAGCAGGGCGCCTACAACAAGCTCTACGAGCAGCTTGGCAAGTGCCTCCGTCTGGACGTGCAGCAGACCCACGCCGAGGACGAGACTTGCATCAACGGCGTCGCCTGCGCTCCGTGCACCACTAACGGCCCCGCTCCCTACAAAGAGATCTGTGCCGAGCCCGAGCGGCGCCCCGAGGGCAGCATGAAGGGAATCATGGGCCACTACTCCGAGACGTGCCCCAATTCCAGCACCTTCGACTCCAAGGCGGACGTCATGCTGGACTCCACCGTCGTGAAAGAATACGTGCCCCCGAAGGGTATGGAGGTTCGTCCCACGACCGCCCCCGATGAGGAGTACTTCGCACGGACGCTCGACGAGCTCGGCGGCAACTCACAGTCCACGGTCGAGGAGGACGGCAGGGCAGGATGCGACCATCCTCCATCGACGCTAGCCTGTCTGCGTGAGACTGACATGTTGCAGGTCATGGCGTGCAGCAATCGACATTGTGCCATCGGCGCTGGTGCCCTCCTCCTCCTCCTCCTCCTCCTCCTCCTCCTCGTCCTCCTCCTCCTCCTCCTCCTCCACCTCCTCCCTCATACCATCCACCTCCCCTACTCCCCCTCTCCCCACCTGCCTCCTCAACTCCTCTCCTCCCCCCTCCTCCTCCTCCTCCTCCTCCTCCTCCTCCTCCTCCTCCTTCCTCCTCTCTCTCTCTCTCTCTCTCTAGCCCCCGCCACGGTGTTCCGAGGCAGCGCAGCGCAGCCCCCCTGTGCCAGCACCCTCGGAGCATGACCCCGCGCGGGGCATCAACTGGCCATCGCTCGGACGTCCATTCCCGGTGTTTTTTTCGGTTTCGTGCGTGGTTTTATTCGCCAAATGATCAGGGATGATCCTCGATGGTCCTCGCCAAAAGAAAAATGCACATGTCCGAGCGATGCCAAGTCAAGAGAACTGCAGGCTCCCTGCGACGGATCTCATATTGTTTCTCTTCAAACCTGTGCATCGTCCAGTTGGTCCTGACGTCGAGGAAAAAACAACTCGGTGAGTCAGGTTGCTGTCCTGTCTCTGGGGTTGGAGTGGCTAAGGGTGGCATGTACGCATTGGGAGACGGGAGAATCAGTGCACCGCTCTCGCAGCCGCCTCGACTTGCCAGCCCCCCCTCGCAGCCTCACACATTTTTTTTTACCTTTCAGTCGCCTACACTTTTTTGCAGGCCCCCCTGGCCACAAGGTATGGCTAAAGTTCACGTGTAGCAGACCAAACTCTGCCACCCTTTCATCAGTGCTAGCACGCATAGTTCCGTCGCATTGCTACTCTCACTCAGCCTGCCAATTACTTGCCACAACTCTCATACAGGCTACCCCACCGTGCGCCAGCCTTTACACATACCAATCAGCTGATACTAAGGGATCGTGCTGAGCCAGAAAAATTCGCCGGCCCAATGGGCCAGAGGCGTGCTAAGATCTCCGGTAACTGGTTAAGAATTCTCTAGTTCGCGCGCGCGGGGCGGCCCCTGGGGGTCCCCGGACGAAAAGTACCCCGGCAAGGTCCTGAGAGAGTCCCGAGAGGAGTCCCCCAGAGCGCTCCAGGAGCGCTCCATGAGCGCACCAACAGGGCTCCGAGACGTCCCCGAGAGCCCCAAGAAAGGCCAAGAGGCCCCCAAGAGGCCCCCAAGATGGAACACGAGGGGTCCTACATGCCACAAGATCGCTCCAAGACGCCCAAGATAGCCCCCAGACGCCCCAAGAGGCCTCCAAGAGCACTCCCAAGGAGGGCCCCCGGAAATCCAGGAACGAAAAAATTCATGTTTTCCCTTTTTGTTTTTGAGAGATTTGGAAGCTTCCCACCTTTTTCCGTTTCCGAGACACTCAAGAGGCCCAGAGGCCCCAAGATGACCCCAAGCAAGAGGGCCCAAGAGGCCACCAAGAGGGCCCCAGGCAAGATGCACAAGAGGGCTCAGAGGGCCTCGGAAGACGGCCCCACCCAAGAAGCCCCAGGGGGACGGTCTGGAAGGGGCCCCAAGACGAAACACCCCCAAAGGGGGCCCCAGAGCGGGAAACACGAAAACAAAAATTTCGCCGCCCATCGGCCCTAAGAAGCCCCCTACGAGGCCCCAAGAGTCCCCTAAGATGGCCCAAGAGGCCCCCACGAGGCCCTCAGGAGGCCCCCAAGAGTCCCCCAATCGGCCCCAGGAGGCCCCCCAAATGCCCCCCCGAGCGCCCCAGGAGTCCCCCAAGCGGCCCCAGGAACCCCCAAAGCGCCGCATTGACACCAGGCCCTCGGGCAAACGGCAGACATGAGACCGTATGGGCCGGCGGAATGAGCGAAGCGATTCAATAACAAAAAGAACAGGGGTCCCGGGACCATGGAGGTTTGGGGTGAACCAACAAACCCTGGGCGGCAACGCAAAAACTACTACCTAGCATGCATTCTCTTGTTTACAAATTTAAGCCGCCTTTGAGCGGCTACACAAGCGCAGCAGGTTGCAGCAAGTTGCAACCATCGCACAGGCCAGCCTTCTAATGCGCTGGCCGAATGATTACTTCCTCTTTCCACCTCAGTCTTCAGTATCTGCGTTGTTTCCGTCGTCGCCTGTTCTGTTCGCTGATAGATGTACCTTGCCATCCTGGCTAGAGATAGAGGGACGGGTAATGGGTGCTGATGAGAGGTGAGTGGGGGTCGCTACGGAAAGGGAAGCAAAGGGCGCGCCAGAGCGCAACGCCCGCTGCATCACCGCCACGAGGCGGCATTGCCTCCTGCGCTCACTCTCTGTTGCACTCTGCTTTCACACTTTTCAGAGCATTGCTGCAAGAATGGCTTGATCCTCTCGCTGATGCTCTCTCTCTCTCTTGCGTCGCATGTGCTGCATGTCTTGACCTTCAGCGCTGAACGCCTGGAACTGTAAAGAAGGGGAGTGGAGGCGGGTTAGCTCCCGTTCCCCTCCCTCCCCTTTTTCATTGGCCAGGAACCACAGCTTCGAGGCGGGTTTGGGATCACTGCTAGGGTACGGGGTTACTGTAGGCACAGCGGCGCAACTGTCACTTAGGGCTGCCCGGCCTCCCATTTGCAGTCTGCACGTGTAGATCCTCCTGCTCCATGCGGCTCGTCCTCGGTTATGACTAAGGTTACGTGTTCAGATTCATGGCTGGGTCCCTTCCCCTCTCCAGCATGGGGCCTGGCGGGCGCATACTCTGCAGCCTCAGGATTCCATGCTCTTTTCGCGCCTCGCTGCCCTACCTTTTCCGGCTGCGCTCGCCAGGCTCGAGTTCGCCTGCCCCTTGCCTGTATAAGTCGGCACGCTGCACTTCTTTTTTCACGCTGACGCTCCATGCTGTTGCATGAAGCCCGCGCAACGTCGAAAAGGAGGAGGAGGACTACGGGATTACGAGAATACCACCACTGCGTTGTGGCAATCAACAACAAAGGACGTACGTGCACATTGACACGGCCTGCAAAAAAGGGCAGAGGAGCGCGAGCAAGCGGCAGGTGGCGCGACGACAGACGGAGGAAGAGGAGGAGGAGGAGGAGGAGGAGGAGGAGGAGGAAGAGGATGAGGAAGAGTAGGAGTTGGAGGAGGAGGAGGGAGGGGCCTTGAGAGGAGGCGGAGGCGGAGGAGGAGGAGGAGGAGCTGGAGGAGGAGCGTGGAGGGCGGAGGGGCCTTGACGATGTCCTCCTTCAGCGCCGCGTCCGCGGACTTCGCCCGCCGGACCCGGTCGTTGACGTCCGCCTGCATCTGCCTGGCGGCGGCGGCGCCGCCGGCCCCCCGGGGCGCCGCTGGCCATCGCTCGGACGTCCATTCCCTGTGCTTGTTTCGGCTTCGTGCGTGGTTTTTTCGCCAAATGATCAGGGATGCTCCTCGATGGTCCTCGCCGAGAGAAAAAACGCACACGTCCGAGCGATGCCAAGGCCGGGGGCGCTGCCGCCAGCGCTGCTCCCCGGGGCATCCTGCCGCTCTGCCCCGAAGCTGGCTGCCTACCAGACCGCCCCAGCCCAACCCGAGGACCCGAAGCTGACCCGAATGTTTCGGGTTGGGGGGGGGGGACGGTTTCCGTGTGGTTTTGCAAAATGTGCCCTGACCCCTCCCCACTGGAAATGGAGGGAAGATTGAAGCCTTCGGGCTGGGCGGGTCGGGCATGTCCCCCTGCAGGCGGATGTTGGACGAGAAAACAAAAATGGTCTCCAAAATTCTCTTCGCCCTCCTCCTCCTCCCCATTGTTCCGCCTGCTGCTTCCCGCCATGCTCCTCCTCCTCCTGTTCTTCTTCCTCCTCCTCCTCCTCCTCCTCCTCCTCCTGCCCTTCCGCCTCCTCTCTCCTCCTCATCCTCATCGTCGTCCTCCTCCGCATCATCATTCTGCAGCAGCATGATCGTCGTCGTTCTGGTTATCAGCCTCGTCCTCGTCCGCCTTAGCAAGATCATCATCACCCTCAGCATAACCGTTTGCCTGATCCTCATCATTACCATCATCAACATCGCCCTCATCAAGATCATGCTCACCATCCGTTTCACCTTCCCCAACACCACCCACCGCCTCCCCCTCCGCATCCTCCTCCTCCGTCTCCTCCTCCTCCTCCTCCATCTCCTCCTCCTGCTCCTCCCATCCTCCTTCCTCCTCCTCCGCATTCATCATCTCATCATCATCATCATCATCATCATCATCATTGCATCATCATCATCATCATCATCATCATCATCATCATCATCAGCATCATATCATCATCATCATCAATCATCATCATCATCATCATCATCATCATCATCATCAGCGTCATCATCATCATCATCATCGAAGTCAGCATCATCATCATCAGAATCATCATCATCATCATCATCATCCTCACCATCATCATCATCATCATCATTATCTCCATCATCATCATCATCATCATCATCATCATCAGCATCAGCATCAGCATCAGCAATCATCATCATCATCATCATCATCATCATCATCATCGTCATTCATCATCATCATAATTCATCATCATCATCGTCAGCATCATCATAATCATCATCATCATCATATCACATCATCATCATCGTAGTCGCCGTCGTCATCGTCATCATCATCATCATCATCATCATCATCATCACATCTTATCATCAGCATCACAGAACATCAGCAGCATCAGCAGCAACAGCATCATGATCATCATCATCATCATCATCAGCATGAGCATCAGCATCATCATCATCATCATCAGCATCATCACCATTATCATCATCATCAGCATCATCATCCTCATCCGCATCATCATCATCAACATCATCACAATCTCATTCATCATCATCATCATCATCATCATCATTATCATCATCATCATCATCAGCATCATCATCAGCATCATCGGCATCATCATCAGCAGCAAAATCATCAGCATCATCATCAGCATCGTCATCATCATCCTCGTCATCATCATCATCCTCATCATCATCATCATCGTCATCAGCAGCAGCATCAACATCAGCACCAGCACCAGCATCAGCATGAGCATCAGCATCATCAGCATCAGCATCATCAGCATCATCATCATCAGCATCATCAGCATCATCAGCATCATCATCATCATCATCATCATCCTCGTCCTCATCATCATCATCATCAGCATCGTCATCATCATCATCATCATCATCATCATCATCATCATCATTATCATCATCATCATCATCAGCATCATCATCAGCATCATCGGCATCATCATCAGCAGCAAAATCATCAGCATCATCATCAGCATCGTCATCATCATCCTCGTCATCATCATCATCCTCATCATCATCATCATCGTCATCAGCAGCAGCATCAACATCAGCACCAGCACCAGCATCAGCATGAGCATCAGCATCATCAGCATCAGCATCATCATCAGCATCATCATCATCAGCATCATCATCATCTTCATATTCAGCATCGTCATGCGCATCCAAGGCCGCGGCGACCAAGCTAGTCAACTCGGGCATCCGACCTGCGACGACCTACGGCATTTCGTGCATGGTATGGTCTACCCAGGCGCTGACGAAGTGGAGGTCCAAGATCGCCGCCATCGCGTTCGGCACGGGTCCAAGACGCAGCATCAGCCTCAGCTACCTGATCTCCGCCAAGCCGTGGGACGACCCGCTCTGCGACCACATCTCCAAGCCTATCGAGGCGTGGGCTAGGGCGTTGCAACTGGTCAGGGAGAAGGACAAGAGGGCCCTCGGCTCGGCCTTCGCGGCTGGGCGCGGCCGCCTGGCCGCCTCTAGACCCGAGGACCTGGCAGGCCGCGGGCCAGCGGCCGTTGCGGCCTTCGCCGCCTGGCGGCTCGGCTGGGAGGCCGACCACATCAGGCGCTGGACGGACGACCTCGGGAGGATCATCGACCTGCACGCGCTGCGCCGCGAAGTGCAGGCGGCCTTCATCAGGAAGCTCTGGAGGGACGTCGCTGGCCGAGACCCCGTGCTCGGCCACCTGGGCGAGGGCGCCGCCGTCAACGGGCTCAGGCGTCGACTCGGGCGCGCCCACGCCACCTCCGAGCTGACAGCGAGGTGGTCGTCAGCAAGGAATGCCATCGTCGGGTGCGTGTGGCCAGTCCAGCGGCGCGCAGCAGCCGAGCCCCCGCTTGCGAGCTCGGGGCGCTGCCCTGCTGGCTGCGAGGAGCTGGGCACGGTCAGGCACTTGGTGTGGGCCTACCCTGTGCTGGACAGTCTACGCAGGCAGTGGAGGCTGGACGACCAGAACCTCAACTACTTCCTCAACTCGGGCGGCCCGCTGGAGGCGGACGTCGAGCACGCCATCTGGTCGCGCCGCCTGGTCAAGGACCCGCGGAGCGACCACCCGCTGCCCCTCTCGACGCGGATGGTCCGCACCGCGGGGCCCCGAGCGGGCGAGCCTCTGCACGGCGAGGTCTTCCTGGACGGGTCAGCCTTCAGACGTCCAGGACCGCGCCATGGCTCGCGCGGGCTGGGCAGCTTGCTCGACGGACCACATGGGCGAGGAGATCTCCAGCATCCTCGGGCCAGTCCCCTGGCCATGGCCCCAGGAGCGGGGTTGGGCGAGCTGCTGGCCGCGGTGGAGGCGCTGGCACACTGCCTCCCGCCGGTCCACCTCCTCAGCGACTCGCAGCTGCGGGTCGACGGCCGGGAGGCGGGCGAGGACGGGTGCACGCGCTGGAACCGCCCATACAGGGAGAGCTGGATGGCCGTCCGGTCTCGGGTTCGGGACGTGGGCGCCGATGCGATTCGGATCACGAAGGTCAAGGGTCACACCACCGTGCACGGCGTCCTTCAAAGCACCTCGATTGAGCGGCAGATGAGAGGAAACCGTGCTGCCGACGCTCGTGCCAAGGAGGGCGCGAGCTGCCACCCGTCTGTTCCCGCGCTCGCCGAAGTCGCCACAATCGCTGATGAGTGGGGGGTCTGCCTGGGTCGGTGGACGGGGTGGGCGCTTCGGGAAGGCGACGGGTGGCCTCGAGCGAGCGACGGATAGCTCGGCCCAGGGCTGCAGGCGATCCGTTGCTCAGTGGGGGAGGAGGAGGAGGAGGAGGAGGAGGAGGAGGAGGAGGAGGAGGAGGAGGAGGAGGAGGAGTAGGAGGAGGAGGAGGAGGAGGAGGAGGAGGAGGGGGAGGAGGAAGAGGAGAAGGAGGAGGGAGAGGAGGACGAGGAGGAGGAGGAGGAGGAGGACGAGGCATGCTCGTCATGCCACGCCAAGCCCTGCAGTGGGCATGGCTCCTCGAGCTTGCTTCCGCCGGGGGGCGAGCGCGGAGCTGCGCGGGCTGCGCAGCGCGTGGCACGCCCCATCCCAGCTTGCTCCCTCCCGCTCCCGCCCCCGCCCCCTCCGCCGACGCTCCCGGGTGGAGAGGGGCAGCGAGGCAGGCCCTCCGCCGCGCTGGGCCTCGCCCTCGGCCTCGGCGTGGCAGGCGCCGGCACGGGGCAGCAGCAGCCACAGACGCAGTCGGCCAGTCCCTGCCAGAGCAGGGGCCGATCCACCAGGGGGGCAACCACGCTCGGCGGGGGACGGGGTCCTGGGGCCCGCTCGGTAAGGAGTTGCCCCCCCTGGTGGAACACGCGCTTCCATAGCTCCCACGGGGTGTATTGTGCCAGCAGCCTCGTGTTTTGTGCTGTGTGTGGCTCGCACACCCAGTCAGCGAGGGTTAACTGGGTTAGTCGAACCCTGTCCTGGACGCGGCCCGCCTCCGAGCGGCTGCGGGGCGGGCTCCGCAGAATGAAGCGTGGCCTGCGCCCCACTCGAGGTGGGGCGGCGGCCGACCTCGGCGCCCCTGCGGCCCTCCCTCGGCGTGATCGGTCGAGGTCGAGGCGGCTGGAAATTAAACGTAGCAGTGCGAGGGGCCTCAACGACTCGGTGGTGTCCCCCCAGGGAGAGCGGGGTCATCATCGTCAGCATCAGCATCTGCATCAGCATCAGCAGCAGCATCATCACCACCACCACCACCACCACCACCACCACCACCATCATCATCATCATCATCATCATCACACACCACACCACCACCACCATCATCATCATCATCATCATCATCATCATCATCATCATCATCATATCATCATCATCAATCATCATCATCATCATTCATCATCATCATCAGCATCCATCATCATCATTCATCATCATCATTCATCATCAGCAGCATCTCATCATCATCGTCATCATCATCAGCATCAGCATTAGCATCAGCATCAGCATCATCATTCATCATCATCATCATCATCATCATCATCATCATCATCATCATCATCATCATCAGCAGCATCACCATCACCATCACCATCACCATCATCATCATCAGCATCATCATAAGCATCATCATTCATCATCATCATCATCAAGCAGCATCAGCATCATCATCATCTTCATCATCATCATCATCAGCATCATCGTCATCATCATATCATCAGCATCATCATCATCACCATCACCATCACCATCACCATCACATCACATCACCTCACCATCACCATCATCAGCATCATCAGCATCAGCATCGTCATCATCAGCAGCATCAGCATCATCATCATCATCTCAGCAGCATCATCATCGTCATCAGCATCATCATCATCATGAACAGCATCAGCATCATCATCATCATCATCATCATCATCATCATCATCATCATCATCCCCACCACCACCACCATCATCATCATCAGCATCATCATCGTCATCATCAGTTTCTTGACTGCGTCTACTCCTCCTCATCCTCCTCCTTCCCCTCCTCCTCCCCACCTTCCGCCTCGTCAACTCAATCATCCTCACGTCTCTGTTCAGTCTCCTCGCCATGTTCCTCCTAGCCTCCGCCTCTTCCTCCTCCCCCTCCTCATCATCATCATCCTCCTCGTCCTCATCATCATCATCATCATCATCATCATCATCATCAGCAGCAGCAGCAGCAGCAGTAGCAGTATCAGCAGCAGTATCGCCATCACCGTCGCCCTCTCCATGACAATCATCGTCATCAGTAGCATCATCAACGTCACCATAACCATCAGCATTGACAAGCATTACCAGCATCACCACCATCGTCGCCACCATCGTCACCATCAGTATCACCATCACCGCCACATTCACCATCATCATCACCATCACCATCACAATCCACCACCACATCGGCTCCATACTTCTTGCCACAAGGCGCCTGTAGTCGTCCGTTTCCCGCTGCTTATTGGTGGCGCGCTGCGCATGGTCGCGCGCCACGATGAGCTGTTCCTTCCTGTGCTCCCTCATGGCAATGGCCTGCGCGCGAAACCGAAGATGCTCGCGTGCACGCCCCTCCATGTCAGACGGACGAGATGAAGAACGAGGACGATGAGGACAGGAGGACGACGACACGAACTGCAAGAGAACGAGGAGGGGAGAAGGAGGAGGAAGAGGAGGAAGCGGATGACGGGAAGGAGGTGGAGGAGGAGCGAAATGTTGATTAGGAGAGAAGGAAGAGAAGGAGAACAAGGAGGAGGACGAGCAGAAGGAGGAGCAGGAGGAAGACGACGAGCAAGAGGAGGGAAGGTCAAGAAGGAAAGAAGGAGGACCGGGAGGAGGCGGAGGAGACTGAGGGCGAGGTAGAGGAGGCGGGAGACGGCGAGGAAGATGACGAGGACGGCGAGCAGGATGACGATATCTCCATCATGGGCCCCGCCACCTCAAAACTGCAGTGCCCACCCCTCCTCCCTGACGGCATATACGGCAGTAGTATCGTGTGGTGGCGACTCTGGCGGTGGTTTCTCACACCGCGTGGAACGCTCAACCTTGAACGATCGGCGGTCTTTCCGTCACACGATCGTTCCATATTGGCCGATTCTGGGCCACTGGCAGCGTTCAACCTTGAACGCCCGCGACGGGGTCGCCGCCGAATCAACACGACAAGAACTGGCCGTACAGGGTTATGCCTACCCTTCAGGACATCAGAGCTACAGTCGGGGTTGCTTGGAGAGGATACGCGAGAGGACACATGACCCTCCCGGGGGCCACATTACCACAAGCACGCAGAATGCATGGGCCGCGACACGCAGGACACAAGGGCATCCTTGCTTAAGCAGGGTCGACCTACTCATCATCCTCGCCAATAGGAGGAAGAGGAGGAGGACGACGACGACGACGATGGTAAAGACCACGACGCTGACGAGGATGAGGACGACGGCACCAACGACGACGACAATCCCTCCGCAATCGTCCGACGCCCGCCCCCCACCACTGCTGCGTATCGTTGAACCGATCCCCATCCCCAGCGGCGTGGCCTGGGCCCCACTGGCCGATGTACCCCCCTCTGGATGGGGGTGGGTCGTGCCCTTCGGGCTCCGAGGGGCGCGTCCCCAGCTGGGGTGGCAATTGGGGGGGGGTCTCGGAGGGGAATGGGGCGGGGGAGGGGGGTCGGACACGAGGTACGCATCGCCGCCGCCCGCCGCCGCCCGCCGCCCGCCCGACCCGGACGGGGGCCGCCAAGAAGCGTCTGCGGCCTGCCTCCCGCTCTGCAGGAGGAGGAGGAGGAGGAGGAGGAGGAGGAGGCGCCGCCCTCGGGGCGGCGCAGACCTCGGGTGGCTCGCGGGAGCCCCGGGCGGGCCTCGCGGGGGCCGTCGGGGCAACGAGGAGACCCAGCCTGGACCACGGCCACGGCCACGGCCACGGCCACGGCTGCGGCAACGCTGCGGCCACGGCCACGCTGCGGCAACGGCCACGGCCACGGCCGCCTGGACAGCTGCTGCTGGTTGAAGAGCTGGAGAGAAAGAAGGAGCGCGACCTCACAAGCCTGTGCGGGTGATGATCACACCAGGGGGGATAAGAAACTTCGGGGCCCTGGGAGGAGACACGCTCTTCCCGGAGATGTCGGTGCTGGGATGTCCGAATGGGTCTGGAATTACCTCCAACCTCATCTGCGGAAGAGGAGGCGGAGTAAAAGGATGAGTAAAAGGAGCAAGAGAAAAAGGGTAGACAAGAAGGACAAGGAGTAGGATGAGGACAGGAAAACAGGACGAGGAGGATGACGAAGAGAGGGAGGAGGGGGAGGAGGAGGAGGTTTCAAGAAAAAACAAAAATTTCGGACCAATCGAATTCTTCTTGTCAACCTCAAGGATAACTGAAGGTTTTCGACTCGTTGTGTAGGAGTACGCATGGTTGCTCTTCGGGGGTGATAAACAATGACGGCGATAAAGACGTTCAACTGGTGTGCGGAGGCAGGAAGGTGGGGAGGGGGGAGTAGAAGGAGGAGATGGGTGTGCCAGAATGGGGGTCTACGAGAGGGCGATGATGATAACAAAGTACGCGGATGATGGCAACAAAGGATAACCATGATAGGATGACCGATGTGCAATTCGCACTCTCCCTGGTGGTAAGAAAACGTTCGGCCTCGCCGCCCCGCCCGCCCATCAAAGATAATCACCCCATGGATAATCATGACTCAGGTGTTACGGGGGGGGGAGGATGCTTTATTATCGCGAGCATGCGGTTAACTTCACCTCCCTCTCCTCGTCCTCCTCCTCCTCCTCCTCCTCCCTCCTCCTCCTCCTCCTCCTCCTCCTCCTCCTCCTCCCCCTCCTCCTCCCCCTCCTCCTCCTCCTCCTCCTCCTCCCCCTCCTCCTCCTCCTCCTCCTCCTGACTCGGCCTCGACCGCTGTGTGAGCCCAGGGGTCGCCAAGCAGCCGGAGAGCACTGCCCGAGCTCTGGCGCGAGCTCCCGCGGTGGACATCCCACGGCAGTATTATGAATATTGCGAATCGTCTTGTCATTACTCTTGTGCTTCTTATTATTCATACTAATATCATTCATAGTATTCATCCTCCTCCTCCTCCTCCTGCTCCTCCTGCTCCTCCTCCTCCTCCTCCTCCTCCTCCTCCTGGGAGCTCCTCCTCCTCCTCCGCCTCCTCCTCCTCCGCCTCCTCCTCATTCTCGTCCTTGCGAAACTCTTCCCTGTCTCACCCCGTGTCCGGTCGACTGGGCGGCCAGGAGCCTCCGCCTTAGACTTGCTTACCACGTATGAGTTTGAGGCTCCAAGATTGGCCAACAACTTCACACAAAGGAGAGCGGGTCGTTCTCAAATGTGGCTCTCGCCTTTCAAACATCAGCAAGAGCTTCACGGACTGAGGGCAGTTTGTTATCAAAACGTGGCTCTCGCCTCAGCGCCGCGCACATTCGATGTTCTAAAGCTGCAAACGAAAAAAACACACGTGAAAGCCTCACATAACGAAGACGTGAAAGCACCGCGCACATTCGCGTGAAGAGCCTGCAGGAGCTTCACGGATTGAGGACGGTTCGTGCTCCCGCCTTCGCGCCGCGCAGACTCGTCTCAAAGAATTGAAAGGGTTTCGTTGGTCCACATTCCAGAGATGGTGTTTGGGAGCGATTCGGGACTGTCAGGGCGCAACAATTACGTTGAATCGCGGTGTTGAAATCCCAGGGATGGCATTCCGGTACGATTCGGGATCGTCAAGACGCAACAGCCAGGCTGACTCGTGGCGTTGAAGTCCTGAGAACGGTGCTTTGGCACGCGTCAAACATTTCACACGGGTGTCCCCCAACGGCGCACTTCCCTCAGTAGGGATGACCCCTTGTATGGGGCCTGTAGGGCCTGTAAAGTGGGAGCTTGGAGGGAGGGTGCGTTCCAACATCGCTGATGAATCTTGGGTTTACACTGGTCCTCCTCCTCCTCCTCCTCCTCCTCCTCCTCCTCTTCCCCCTCCTCCTCCTCCTCCTCCTCCTCTTCCCCCTCCTCCTCCTCCTCTTCCCCCTCCTCCTCCATCCCTGACCCTTACGCAAAACTCACCCCTGTCGCGCCACCAGACGTGTCCGTAGGCCCGGCCGTGCGATTCGCTCGCAAAAGATGTGCAAACCCCGACCCCGAAGCAGAGCGCTCCAACAGCCGCACGGATGAAAAGGCCGGTGGCGCTCGCAGTGCGGCCCTCGCCGTCGAGCCGCGCCCCATTCGTTCTGTTGATGCTGCGTGCAACTACGAGGATCGGGTGCAGCACGGCCCCCGGCGCAGCTGCTTCCCCCGGCGGTAGGTCCTGCTTTCTTCTGCGCGCGCGGGCAACTGGGTTCGCTCGTAGCCCGAGCCGACTCGACCCGCTGCGGGCGCCTTCGCCTGTGGCCGCGACGAGACAGATGACTATCTACCAGACCACCCCAACCCAACCCGAAGACCCGAATTTCGGGTTGGGGGGGGTACGGGTTCCAGATGTGTTTCCTCGACGTTCCCCGACCCCCCCCCCCAACTGGAAGTGGAGGGCAAATCGAGACCTTCGGGTTGGGTTGGGGTGGTTTGGTGGGTGGTGATGTACAGACTACGAGGACGGAGGCAGGCACGTCTTTCCCAGGGCGACCCCCACAGGAGACCCCCTCGAACAACTACGACCCCCGCTGCCCAGGTGCTGCGCACCTGGCCCTGCACGGACGGAGGGCGGGATCACTGCGGGGGCGCCCGCCCGCACGCCAGAGGCAAAGAAGCAGGCTGCGCAGAAGCCTACACTGGGTAGTCGAAGCCAATCTGGCGCCAATCTGGCAGGCCCAATCTGGCAAGCGGGGGCAATCTGGCGAGGGAGCCAACGCGAATCCAGTCTGACGAATAACCCAAATCACCCAATATGGCCAGGCCAGATTGGCCCTTGGGGCCCAATCCAGTCTGACAGTCTGGCCTTAGACTACCCAGCTACACCTGTGGAGGGCAGCTCTCGCTGGGGCCTTCCGCAGACGCTGCGCCCCGAGCGGGAAGCCACGCTCGCCATCGCTCGGACGTCCACTCCGCGTGCTTTTTTCGGTTCCGTGCATGGTTTTTTTTTCGCCAAGTGATCAGGGATGCTCCTCGATGGCCCCCGCCGACGGAGAAATGCACGCGTCCGAGCGATGCCAAGAAGCAGGTTGAGCAGAAGCCTACACCTGCAGAGGGCAGCTCCCTAGGGGCACAAGAGGAGGAGGAGGAGGAGGAGGAGGAGGAGGAGGAGGAGGAGGAGGAGGAGGAGGGGGAGGAGGAGGAGGAGGGGAGGAGAAGGAGGAGGAGGAGGGGCGAGGAGGAGGAAGGGGAGGAGGGAGGAGGAGGAGGAGAGAGGAGAGGAGAAGGAGGAGGAGGAGGAGGAGGAGGAGGAGGAGGAGGAGGAGGAGGAGGAGGAGGAGGAGGAGGAGGAGCAGAGGGCAGCTCTCGCTGGGGCCTTCCGCAGACGCTGCGCCCCGAGCGGGAAGCCACGCGTGCCACAGCCGCACCGCTGGAGGGCAGCTGCTTCTCAACACCGGGGCCGTCGCTGGACACCTCCCCAG